AAACAAAAATATTTCTTTATCTATCAACAAATACATGGGTACAAGTTTTCAGGCAATTGTGCCTGAAGTTCAGGATTTTTATAGTCATGAAAGCTCTCTTTTTCTATGTAAACCAATGAAAATATTGCTTAATTCAGGGGTTTCTGACATTTTAAACTTGCATCCATGCATATAACAAATCAAATAAACACCATTATAGCTAAAGGGATGGGCTGGGAAACGTAATTATGCTATTTCTATGCAAAAAAAGCAGAGACTTTAAATGAAGAAATAAACTCTTAAAGAGATTATGAAAAGAAGAAATAAACTCTTAAAAAGATTATGATAAACTGAATACAATTCTTCAACCTTAAAAAGGCTGATAGTTGATACCATTTAGTATGAACTAGATAATTTACTTAAACCTGTGATAATAGTATCTAGATATAATTATATGATAATTGTGATTTGTTTGACATTGCCAAAATATTTGCATACAGTTTTATTTGACATTGAATTGATTCAATATTGTAAGATAATTTATTCACAATATGTACAAGCAAATGATAAACTACTTATGTTCCTGCTATTGTTATTGTTACACAGTATGGCTGCATTGCATTTTTTTACAAATGCAGTCTTGTTCTTTTTACTGTCATGTTTGTAGATTATGAATTAAAACATTCTTTCAATTACATTCTTACTGAAGGTAGTTTGCAGACATTTATTAAACTGATCAGATATCATACACTTCAATGTTGTTGTTGGACTCTCTGCATACATACATTTTTGACATTTGTTTATTACAACACAATGAAATAATGTCCCCTTTTCCACTGTCAGCTTTTATGATCTCTCCCAGCAGCTTACCATCACATGTAAACTGTAAAACATTATTGGAGGAACCTCCAGATACCAGCACACTACCTGCTTCAGTGACATAACAACAAGAATTCTTATTTAATTTTCCATCATCATATCTTGTAATTTCCTTGCCATTGTTGTCCAGTACTATCAGCCCACAATCTAAATGGTGAAATAAAAACCTGCTTGTAACATAAATTCTTGTAGCATCTTTACTGACAGCTAGTATTTTTCTGGGAAAATACATAGCTCTTAATAGTGATTGTTGCCCTATTCTGAGCTGTTTTAGCTTTTTTCCAGACAATGTATAGATATATACTTCTGACCCACTGTCTCCTATATATAAATTGTCATTTGCATGTGCAAGAAAACAACATAAAAAATCAGTGTTAATCTTATTTGTTGTTTTCATTTGTCCTTCAACAGAAATGATATGAACTTCTTCCTTGTATAGTAAAGTTACTGCTACTTGTGTTGTATTGATTGAACACATTTGCAATGGTGCACTAGGTAGACAGTACTCTGTGACAGTATAGTTGTTACTGTGGAACCGGTTAAGCTTCTTGTTGTTGTAATCAGCTACAATTATTGTACCATTATTTAGGCAGCATGCACTACCAAAGTTACTGTGTTTTCCAGGTGTATCTGTAACACAATATGATTGTATCCCTTTTATCTGGAATAAGGTGCCAGAAGTTTTTGTAGATGTCTTTGTTAATGTACCTAGGGCTTTATATTGTTGTAGTTGTGTGATAATTGTTTTATCAGGTTGAAACTCTATGTTATCTTCAGTACTCTTTCTTTTGTTATCTGCTATACAGTTGTTGGCATCATTTGCGGCTTCTTCTCCAATCTTCACATGAACAAACACTTCAGCTTGATTTGTGTTTGGAGATGCTAATTTATCATTAGCTGAGGTAACCCTGGCCATGTTTGCTTGTAGCTTTTTGAGATTGTCTTCAATCTTGTCTTCTAGGTGTTTAACCTTATCTTCTACCTCATCGATAGAATTTTTCTCCAGCTTGTCAAGTTGAACATTAATTTCTTGTCGAAATTTTCTGATCTCAGCCAGTAATTCTGCCTTTCTTCTCAGCAGCCATTGCTTATCTTGTTTGAATTTGGTAACTTGGTCTGCAAGGGTCTTGGATATTTCCTTAAGTTTTGTTTGTATTTCTGTTGAGGCTGATAGGTAAGTGTTATTTTGAATAAATTCTGGAATGTAGATGGTATCTGGACATGACCTGAAAACAAATTCAGAATTGAATTTATTTTTCCCCCACCAAACAAAGTTTAAAGGTGTATATATCTTATTGTTGGTTTGTTGTGTAGTTTCATGATGATTAGTTAAGTAGAGTTATGAATAAGATATTGTAATCAGACTTGGTATAATTATAGCAAACTTAAATGGAGGCCTCACTGTGACTTTGGACTTCTTTTAGATGATAACTAGAATGAAGAATTTTGTGAAGACCTGGCTTGGGATTGCTCTTGGGCCCTCTATTGTCAAGGTCACTCTACTACAAATATAAAAAAGGTTTCCTGACATAAACTAGATGAGGAATGAGATACTGTTATTGTAAGCTATTTGGTGCCTTTATTTAGAATTGCTTTCAGACCCCTTGGGTCAAGGTAACTGTTATAAGAAATAGAAAAGTGGTTTCTTGTTAATTTTAGAGTTAGGAATGAGATATTGTCATCAAACTTAGTAAGTAACAAGCTTATGAGGAAACCTCACTTTGGGAAACCTCACTTTGGAATGTTTTTGTTATCCTGATGATTCTCTTTTATGAGGCAATAAATATTAATTATTTGCGGTACATAGATGAAACATCATAAATTAAATTGGTTTCAGACAACTTATTTTTCTTGAATCCCCTGTAGTGATAGCTGTAACATAACTTTAATGTTTTGAACTTATAAAACTCACGATAAAGTGACTGATAAATTGTTAAAATTTACCTGTGATCAACTGCCATACATGTAGAACAGCCAACAGTATCATGGTTCTGACAGTACATATCAATGTGTTTATGACTGTGTCTGTCACATCTCTCTTCTGCTGCCCTTGGCTGACCTTTGCTGATTCTTGATGTAACAAGAGATTTATCCAAGACCGTGTGACCAGTACATACAGGCACCTGACTGTGAACTTGGACACATTCTATACAGAAATAATCTTGGCAGTCCACACAGAATTTTACACCTTCTGAGTTTTTGCTTTTACTTTTGCAGATTGTACATAGTACATCAAATGTTTCATCAGAAAGTATATCCGTATTCATCTGCCCACCGGTAGCCATGGTGTAGATAAACTTGTTCAAACAAAGTTAGTTAGTTGATATGTACAACACAAAAAGATAAGAGACATATATAGTCCTTATTTAGTGTCACAATCAATTTTGAACATGATAATGTACTGTCACATCTCTCCAAGTCTTTACTTTGCGAGTGTTTCCTAAACTTATTTTATAATAATAAACCATATTTTTCTTTTTTAGCTCACCTGTCACTTTGTGACAGGGTGAGCTTTTGTGATCGCTTTTCGTCCGGCGTCCGGCCGTTCGGCGTCCGTAAACTTTTACTTTAAATGACATCTCCTTATAAACCACTGAGCCAATTTCATCCAAACTTCACAGGAATGTTTCTTTGGTAATCACCTTTGAAAATTGTTCAAAGAATTTAATTCCATGCAGAACTCTGATTGCCATGGCAACCAAAAGAAAAAACTTTAAATATCATCTTCTAAAAAGCTAGAGCTTAGATATTTGGCATGAAACATTTTCTAGTGAGTGTCTACCAAGTTTGTTCAAATAAAAGCCTAGGGGTCAAAATTGGCCCTGCCCCAGGGGGTCATTGATTTTCCCTATATGTATGTAGTAAAAACTTTAAAAATCTTGTTTTAAAGAACCCAAAGAGCTAGAGCTAATATATTTAGCATGAAACATCTTCTAATGGGTTTCTACTAAGTTTGTTCAAATAAAAGCCCTAGGGTCAAAATTGGCCCCGCCCTAGGGGGTCATTGATTTTTCCTATATGCATATAGTAAAAACTTAACAATCTTCTTTTAAAGAACCCAAAGAGCTAGAGCTAATATATTTAGCATGAAACATCTTCTAATGGGTTTCTACTAAGTTTGTTCAAATAAGAGCCCTTGGGTTAAAATTGGCCAAGCCCCAGGGGGTCATTGATTTTCCCTATATGAATATAGTAAAAACTTAAAAATCTTCTTTTAAAGAACCCAAAGAGCTAGAGCTAAGATATTTAGCATGAAACATGTTCTAATGGATGTCTACCAAGTTTGTTCAACTAAGAGCCCTGGAGTCAAAATTGGCCCCGCCCTGGGGGACATTGATTTTCCTTATATGTGTATAGCAAAACTTTAAAATTTTCTTGGAAATAACCCGAATAGCTAGAGTTTAGATATTAAGCATGAAACATCTTCTAGTAAGTGTCTACAAAGATTGTTCAAATAAAAGCCCTGGGGTCAAAACTGGCCCTGCCCCAGGAGTGTCATTGTTTTTAAATACTAGTATGGGGCGTCTGTGGCCGAGTGGTTAAGGTCGTTGACTTCAAACCACTTGCCCCTCACCGCTGTGGGTTCGAATCCCGACAGGGACTTTGGATTCTTTCATGTGAGGAAGCTATCCAGCTAGCTTACGGAACGTCAGTGGTTCTACTCAGGTGCCGGTTCGTGCCTGAAATAATGCACGGAAGGGCACCTGAGGTCTTCCTCCACCAGTAAAGCTGGAACGTCGCGATATGACCTATACTGTGTCGATGTGACGTAAAACCCAAAACAAAACAAAACAAAATACTAGTATATGTGTAAAGAAAAAACTTAAATTTTTTTTTTTTAAAAACCCAACAAGCTAGACCTTAGATGTTTAGCATGAAACATCTTCTAATGGGTGTCTACCAAGTTTATTCAAATAAAAGCCCTGGGGTTTAAACTTGCCCCGCTCCGGGGGGCCTATGTACAGGTGAGCGACTTCAGGGCCATCATGGCCCTCTTGTTTGATATAATGGCCATTTCATCTTGCTGTGTACATCTCATAACACAATCTATTTCTCTATCATACAAAGTCCACATCCACTTACAGTTTAATAAACTTGGAGATACAAAGTGCTTCAGGGAATGAACATCATCTCCAGATAGTGAAGACTCTAGCTTAACCTTTACCATGCAAATTATCTTAAATGAAAACTGGTACATCTTTCAATTTGGCCAATTCAAACCCTTGGTCATGGGTTGAACATACTTGTTACAGGTTCACTCTACAATGTTTCATGTAAAGTATTAATGGGGTAAGCCTTGCAGTTCTGAAGGAGATTTTGATACAGTTTATTTTTACTGTTGGCTTTTGTGCAGATATCTGGTTGTCATGGCAACAAAATGAATTAATTGGAAGAAACTTGAAAAATCTTTTTCTCAAGAACTACAGGGCCTCTGCCAATATTGATATTTTCTTGTTAAATCACAAATGCTAGTGCTTAGATTATGCATAAAACATTTGCCAGCAGACTTTCATCAAAGTTGTTCAAATTATAGCTCTAGGGGTCAAACAGAGGAAATTACTCAGCTTTGAAATTTAGACTATAAACAATATTCAGTTATCACTCATTTGACATGCCCTATACTTGCAATCCTCTCTCAACAAGACATAAGGTTAATATTATCGGGGAAAGATAACAACTAAGTAATTGCTTTGTGCATTGTGTAATATTATATTGAATACATAGCATATATTATGCATCAATTTTACTAAATACTTCCATAATAAATTACTTTTAACAAACAAATGTACATTCAACTGTATGAAGCTATATCTGATTAAATATTCTAGGAAAAATTAAAATGTTTTCATAATGTTATGGAGGTTTCTTGAAAGAGTTGTAACGTAGAATGTGTCTGTAATTTAACATGCATGAATATTGTACATGAATTAATGTTTGTCCAATAGGATTATAGCATTTCAAAAGAATCATGACGCATTTACTTTAGTAAATCGATTTGACTATTAATCAGTCTTGTAAATCAACTGTTTATGAAAAATAATTTCGAACATAAATGTTTATAAGGAAACATTTACTAAATTAAAATGGTTGAATGGCTGTGCAGTTTTTGACCAATTTATTTTTTTAAATGCTTACTTATACAAACTGTACCAAAATAAAATATTCTGCTGCTATTAACAGTAGGTTTGGAAAATAATTTCACACATGCCCCACTAACTTTCAATAGAATATACTGACAAAAATTTCTCCCATTCTGTGTATTCTGTAATCATCATTTAAATCATAATATAAACAACAACTTTCAATTCACAGGCATCAAAATTTATATAGCTTGTATTACTTAGAAAATATATACAACAACAGTTCTGTTCAATCACATTGGCTATGTGGGATCAATATTACAAATATTGAATAAAATAGAAAACATAGAACAAAATATACATACAAATGATGAGAAAGTTACATGTTTCACACACTTCATATAAATTTAAGAGTAATTTGTTTAAGTTAAAAAAAAAAAAAAAGATTGAAGGAGAGAAATAAAGAATTAAAACATATTACTCATATGGTTTTTAACATAGAAATCCTGAAGAATCATAAAATGAGGTCGAAAGTATAAAAACATAAATTTTGTCATTCTTGCATAGTTCGAATGAGATAATAAAAAGATAAACTCACAGTTAAATTGAAAACAAATTGTTCTTGCACAATTTTTAGCCTAGTTTTAGAGAAAAGGATCGAAATACCATTCATTTGTTTGGTCATTTTGCATAATGAAAATGTTTATTCTGGGAAAACAGTGAGGAAATTATCTGAAATTATTTTGCTTGGGTTTGCTTTAGTGATAAGTAAAGACTGACATCAGATGTTACAAGAATCTCAAAAATCTTCATGTTGAAAAAAAAAACGTCAGTGCAGTCCCTTTAACAATTCCATTTAATTAATTTATAAACAAAAATATTTCTTTAATTTTCAACATATAACAAATCAAATATACATAGTTATAGCTAAATAAATAAAACAGGTCGAATGGCCGGGAAACATAATTATTCTATTTCTATTAAAAAAAGCAGAGACTGAATGAAGAAAAAAAAAATCTAACAATTATAATGATGATTATAAATAGTATAAAATATTTTATGTGCATGGATCATCTGTGCATAACTAAATAAAATATTTTAACTTTAAAGACTGATAGTGATACATGTACTTACTTAAACTAAATGATTAACTTTAACCTATGATAGATATATCAAGATATATATGATGATTGTGTTTTGTTTCACATGCTGAAATATTTACCAACAATTTTATTGGACATTGATCCAATATTGTAAGATAATTTATTCACAAATATGTACAAAAAAAATCATTAACTACTTTTGTTCCAGCTATTGTTAGTACTTTACAATGTGGCGGCTTTGCATTTCACAAACATACACAAACATAGTTTTATTCTTTTCACATTTAATGTTTGTAGATTGTGAATCAGAACATTCTTTCAATTACATTCTTACAGACGGTAGTTTTCAGTCATTTTTTACACTGATCAGATATCATACACTTCAATGCTGTTTTTTCTGTCTCTGCTTACATACATTTTAGACATTTGTTGATTACAACAAACTGAAACAATTGTCCCTTTTCTTCTGTCATTTTTTATGACATCTCCTATCAGCTCACCATCAGATGTAAACTGTAAAACATTATTATATCCTGATACCAGCACACTACCTGCTTCAGTGACATAACAACAATTAGCACCGTATAAATTTTCACCATCATAATTTGTAATAACCTTACCATTGTTGTCCAGTACTATTAGCCCACGTACCCTATCGGCAACATAAATCCTTGTAGCATCTTTACTGACAGCTAGATTGGGTATGTACATGTATTGCTGGTGAAACATATTAAATGGATTTGCAAATTTTGAGATAAATGATCGAGTTTTTCTGAGAAATATTGTGAGCTGATTTAGCTTTCTTCCAGACAATGTATAGATATATATGTCTGTGCCACTGTCAGATATATATAAATTATTATTTTTATATGCAAGACCAAAACACACAAAATCAGTGTCAATCTTCTTTGTTGTGCTCATTTGTCCTTCAACAGAAATGAAATGAACTTCTTTCTGTGATGGTAAAGTTACTGCTACTTGTGTTGTATTGATTGAACACACTTGCCATGGTTTTCCAGGAAGATCACAGTAGTCTGTGACAGTGTAGTTGTTATATTGGTCCCGTTCTAACCTTTTGTTGCTGTAATCAGCTATAACTATTGCACCGTCCTTCAGACAGCATGCACTTTTTAGATAACTTTGACTTTCATAAGAGGAATGTCTCTCTTTAATTTGAAATAAAGTATCAGGAGTTTTTGGTTTTGAAGGATTTTTAAGCCTGCCAAGGGCTTTATTTTGCTGAAGTAATGAAAGGATTGTTTTTTCAGATTGAAACTCGATGTCATCTCCAATACTCTTTCTTTTGTTATCTGCTATATGTTTGTTGGCAACATTTGCAGCATCTTCCCCAATCTTCATTTGGACAAACACTTCAGCTTGATTTGTGTTTGGAGAAGCTAATTTATCATTAGCTGAGGTAACTCTGGCCATATTAGCTTGTAGCTGTTTAAGATTGTTTTCAATCTTGTCTACAAGGCGTTTAAACATATCTTCTATCTCATCTATAGAATTTTTCTCCAATTTATCAAGTTGGTCATTAATTTCTTGTCGAAATTTTCTGATATCAGCCAGTAATTCTGCCTTTCTTTTCAACAGCCTCTGCTTATCTTGTTTGAAGTTGGTAACTTGTTCTGCAAGGGTCTTGGATATTTCCTTTAGTTTTGTTTGAATTTCTGTTGAGGCTGATTGGTAAGTGTTATTTCGGATAAATTCTGGAATGTAGAAAGTATCCTGGCATGCCCTTTAAAAAAAATCAGAATATCCATGTATAAATACAACAGGGAGGAGTGATAATTTCAATTTTATCCCCCCACATAGTTTAGAGAGTATATATAAGAAAACTGATCCATTGTTTCATTGGTTGTGTTTGTATTGTTTCATGAAGAGAACTAGAGTTACAAGTAAGATATTGCAATTAAGCTTGGTATAATAGCATTGTCACTTCTATAAAAAAAGGGAGAAAAATGGCTTCTAGACTATAAGTAGAATTCTTATTGTGATCAAACTCGCCAAAAAGTAAGCTTTTGTGGAGACCTTGCTTTGGATTGCTTTTAGGCCCCCCATTCTCATGGTGAAAAATGGTTTACTGACATTAACGATACTGTTACCAAACTTAGTGTCTAGCATCTTATGTGGTGGCTTACTTAGGATTGCTTTTGGACGCCCATGAATATAGAAAAATTGTTTCTTGTCAATTTCTTGAGTTAGGAATAAGATATTGCAATGAAACTTAGTAAATAGGAAGCTAATGTGGAGACCTCACTTTGGTTCCAGATGATTCTCAATTTCAAGACAATGAACTGTAGTTATTTTGGAGACAGATGAAACATCATAAATTTAATTTGGCTTCAGGCCTCTATCTTTTCTTGTAATGGCAGGAGGGGTATGAATCGCCTTAAGTGATAGCTGTAGTTTTCTTTAAATAACTTTGGTGAACTTTTAAACTTACCATAAAGTGACTGATAAAAAAATGATAAAAAAAAAGTTGAAATTTACCTGTGATCAACTGCCATACATGTAGAACAGCCAACAGAATCATGGTTCTGGCAGTACATATCAATGTGTTTATGACTGTGTCTGTCACATCTCTCTTCTGGTGCCCTCAGCAGACCTTTGATGATTCCTGATGTAACTAGAGATTTATCCAACACCCTGTGACCAGCACACACTGGCACCTGACTGTGAACTTTGACACATTTTATACAGAAATAATCTTGGCAATCTACACAGTATTTTACACCGTCTGTGTTTTTGCTTTTACTTTTGCAGATTGTACATAGTACATCAAACACTTCATCAGAGAGAGTATCCGTATTAATCTGCCCACCAGTAGCCATCTTGTAGATTATTTTGTTCAAACTAAGTTAGTTTGTTGATCTTAACAACACAAAAAAAGATAAAGACATTCATTGTTTCGTATCACAATTAATTTAAACATGATAATTTACTGTCACATATTCTTTTCTTTTCAAATGTTTCCTGAACTACTCATATAATAATAAACCTTATTTTTCTTTTATGAATAATGATCATTTCAACTTGCTATGTACGTCCCATATCACAATTTATTTCTATATCAGATAAATTATTATTCAAAGTCCACATCCTCTCACAGGTTGATAAACTATAGGGTACAAAGTGCATGGACAAAATGTACATCATTTCTAAATAGTGAATGCCTTAGCTTAAACTATAATGCAGGAATGAAGGTTTAAAAAAACTTAGTAGCCCCTTTGCCCCCCCCCCCCCCCCCCTAAAGGCTAGTCAAATTTGATCTTGGGGTGGGCAGATGTTGAGTAGGGTATGCATTAACCAAAATTGTTAAGGTCATCAAGAGAGTGTTTCATGCAATTTACAAAAGTGCTTGGCAACTTGCTCCAGAGAAGTTTTCGCATGAAACTGTGCATAAGCAATGGGGCCAATTTGATCCTGGGTCATTGGTTGAACATATTTGAGAAAGGTTGGCTCTATAATGCTTCATGCGAAGTATCAAAGGTGAATGCCTTGCAGTTCTGAAGGAAATTTTTTAAAGTTTAGTTCAATGATTATATTTATAACTGTCCATCCTACTATGATGTGTATGTATGTATAATCATTTGCAGCTAATCACTGTTGGTTTGAATCCCCCTAGAGAGCCTGGATTCATGGAATGTCAGCGAGAGGTCTTACTGGCCAAGCCGAGTTGAAAGGTTGCCATATTGACTTTACAGTGTCCCTAACCAGAAACAATTAAGGTGAAAATTTGAAATAATTATTTTGTTTTGTATTTGTAGATTGGTGCTTCATTCTCCAAAACAAATGTATCAACATTTGTTATAGATCTAAAAAGAATACAACCACATGGTGGGGTACCCCATCAAGAAGGTGGGGGCCAAGTACTTTCCAGGTTTGTTTAAATTTATCTGTTTTGCCAGTGTTTATGAAAGATGATTTCATGAATATGTCAAGGTGTCTGTACATGACATTTTTTCTTGCATTTTAACTTGTTTCTATTTATCTTACGATATGATTTTGATAACAGTTTATGAGGACATACATTCTTTCATTTTGTAATATTGATAAAATTTTCATGAAACTACAGTAATGATTAACAAAGTCATGGTCGTTGTCACCAGTCCCAACGGGGAGAGGGTCCTGGCTCATACATTGCTGTGACCAGGTATGGCGCATACATAGCTGTAGCATGTCTGGGACTCAACAGGGAATGAGCAATGACTACCACCCTCCCTGTACCCCACTAGATCACCAAATTTCTCAGATTTGGAAACCTTGACCTGATCCTTGATTTTTTTTTGCGTTGTAAAGACCTTATTTACCAGTGTTGTGTTATTGTATTTACAGTAGTCACGGTAGAAGAAGTTTTCTCACTGAAAGACCTCCAACCCAGTCAAGTAGGCAAGCCAGGTAATAAAGTTAAACCAGAATCCGCTGGAACAAAAGTGACAAACCTTGGCCACCAGTATCTAGGGCAGCCTGCACATTGGTGCAGTCTAACTAGGCTCAATACTGTTGGGTGACCTACTTCATTACTTCATTAAACAAATTTTTATCTTGAACTTCATTAAGTTGATTATAGGTTAGTATCAAAAATTGAAGTTGGACAAGTCCATTTAAGTATTTCAGCAGGTAAAGGGTTAACTCTATGAGTGTAAGTAAGTTGATGTAATGATTTGCCTATGCCAACAGTATAGAGTGAGGTTATCCTGTACATCCATGCAAGCTGATCAGGGTGTATATAGTTGACTGGGAGCCTCTTAAGCTGTGTAGTTAATATTGCTTACCTTGAACAAAGTGCCTTTACTGCTTTGGGTTCAAATCCCGCCAGAGACTTGGTATCTTTTCATGTGAGCTAGTCTGCTTATGATAAATCTGTGGTTTCACTCAGGTGCTAATGAAATAAACCAATAAAATAAACTATAGAAATGGGTAGTACCAATCTTGAAAACAATATTTTTAGGACAAATTATTGAAGAAAATTATAATTTTGTGTTTCAGTGTACCTAAGGAGGATGAAAATGAACCAACCAGCACAAGTCCGGACCAGGAGGACCGAGAATCTGTAGCAGATATACGCGATCCTGAGGACTTCAAAGAAATATTTCAACCTAAACATAGAATAGGTATGAGAAAAAACGTGTCTTAAGAGTTATGCTTTTTTGCACACTTATTTGGTGAAAAAGGGAGGAATATAGTATCTAACGTGTTGTTGGTATTTGTGTAAAATTTTGTGATTACCAGGACTTGGACAACTTTCAATCTGGACAAAACAATTCATCATTTTTTAAGGAAAACTAAGTTATTCCCCTTTGTGAAATTTACCCTTAGCAATGAATTTGAGAATTCTTTTAAGGAAGGCTGTACATTGCACAACTGATTAATGTAATATTTTTTACCGATTCTGAAGACAAGTGAAATTAAACATGTACTTTAAAAGTATAAAATAACAAAAAACAAAACAAATAACAACATAAGATTAAATGATAATACTGATTTTGTTACTTCTTTTTCATTTGGTGGTAGAGGACAAGGTATAAAACGAAAGTTTATATATACTTGGATTATTTATGTTTACAGATAGATCACCTTCTAGAAAGATGGAGCCATTCCAACCACCAAATGATGATGGTAATGTTGTTTTGTTATTAACTTATTAAAGCATTCTAAAATCTCAACTTTATAATCATAATATAAGGAGTACGTTTAAATAGAGATATAATATACCATTAATATTCTGATACATTAGTTCTCTTACAGAAAAAAAGTTATTCTAAATTCTCAAAATTCTAAAAAAATTATTAATGAAAAAAAGTGAAAAGTTTCTATGAAGTTTTTCCCATAATTTTTCTGGAAATAGAATTGAAATTAGGCTTTAAATATGTTCAGATTCTATTATGCTATATCTATGCAAAAAAGAAAAAAAGATTGCTTAATTCCCAACTGTCATTGCTCTATTAACTAGGGGCATTCCCGGAACCAGAACCTGTGAAACAACCGGCACCCGTTAAACAACCAGCCCCAGTATCTAAACCAGCTCGAACCACTAGGCGCGAGCTTCCTCAAACCCGACAACCAGATCCACCACCAGCACAACGACAGTCGGAACCTGACCCAGCACCGCGGGAACCGGAACAGGATATGAGCGGGAGACCCAGTAAACAAACAGTTCATGTACCTCCAACTAGACGGCAGCCATCACCTCCACCAAGTGAAGGGGGAGTAAATCCAGAAGACTTTTTACCAGTGAGTGTAATAATATGGAAAAATCTTGCCTTTTGTCATGTACTTTACTATTTCAGTATTCTGTAGTATGACAATAGCTTGCTATTGTGATTTAGAAATTCTTGGGCTGACTGTTTCTTGACTGATTCTTTCTTGAAGCTTAATTTCCACTGTGGGTTGATATCCTGCAAGGGACTTTTTATTATTTCAGCTACTTTATTGAAGCTTGGTGGTTATACTTTGGTGCCAATTTATACCAGGCCGGAAACACTAGGTCTTTCACCACCTGTAAAGCTTAAAAGTCATCTTAAAACCTTTTCAATAGGTGGATTTCTTAGTGGAATTTTTACAGCTTCCAACTAAAATCTAACCTGCAGACTGTTAAAATAGTTCCAACTTTATATTTCAATGATATCCACTACATTAAAATTCAAATGAATATAAATGATAAATATCAAGTAATAATAATTTAGTATTACTAAAAAGCATACAATTATTATGCTATTATAAGATCGTAAAATGTTTAAATAAAGTCTATGATATAGTTTAGATTGCTATATGCTTTTATCGAACCCTAGCATATGCCTTTTAAGACTTTAGGATTGACCACAAATGGTTCTAAGCATCTTAGTGCCTTCAGTGCTTTGATTTAATTTTTATTCTCCATTTTACAGCCAGAGGTGAAAAAACAAGAGCCATCACTCCAGAACCTGTCAGAAGAGGGGTGTATAGATATGATTACTAAAGGTCATAATACAATGTTATCTGTGTTATCAAATAGGAGCAAAAGTTTACAAACTGTTCGTGTCATGTGGTCATCAGGAAACACCAAAGTAAGATTTTCAATACAGTTACCGTCCTTACTTTTGAAATGATGTATATATTGAATCCTAGATTTGTGTGACAATTACCATATTTGTTGTTAGACACTTTACTGATTCCTTATGAATTTAAGTATTTTTGATACTGAAATACCGTACACTTAAAATTTCATAGAGTGTGACAGTGTCAATGCTAGGCACAAATAATGTAATTTTAGAAAACTTGTTTGCATTAAAACATAGATTTATTTATTTAATGTTCATGTACTCTAATTTAGGTTTCATGTATTTTGATGTATTTTCAGACTGCTGTAGATTCTGCAATAAGTATGAATGACAATGGAGTGATAGTAGATGTACTCAATGTTCTTAATGCCAAATCGTAAGTTAAAATATTTTAACAGTTAAATATGTATGCAAAAAAAACATTATCTTGGGTTAGCAATTCAAGACCCGAGACATACCCAATAAAGACATAGTTAATCACTGGTATATATACTTAAGCATTCCTAAACACTTAATTTGAATGTAAAGTTTCTTTAATTGGCTTGTTTTGTTCTCATTTTGTTAATGTCGCATTAGCAATTAAAGGGATAATAAGATAATATATTTGAGGTTGGTCAGCCAACAGTATACAGCCTGGTCAGACTGCAGAGATGTGCGTGCGGGCCTGACTATACTGATGACAAAGGCTAATCACTTAAGTTCCAGCAGATCACCATATTACTATTCCTTCACCCAACCTTATGCCCAGTTTTTATCCACAGATTAGCTTACTTTTCTCTTGATAAATTTAAACTTTTTCCATTTAAACTCTGCTTACATTTTCCTTTTTTGTTTGTTTTAAAGACATATGTAAGTATTTTGTTTATTTGAAGGGTTATGGGCTGATCATATTTAATGCTTTGAATTATAATACTTTGCACATTGGTACTCCAGTATGGTATACATCAATTATACATGTTAGATAGAGTATGCATATAAACAGTGCTTTGTATGGAATATATAAAGCTATACTTTATTAGCTCACCTGTCACAAAGTGACAGGGTGAGCTTTTGTGATCGCTTTTCGTCCGGCGTCCGTCCGTCTTCCGTAAACTTTTTCTTTAAATGACACCTCCTCATAAACCGCTGAGCCAATTTCATCCAAACTTCACAGGAATGTTCCTTTGGTGGTCACCTTTAAAAATTGTTCAAAGAATTTAATTCCATGCAGAACTCTGGTTGCCATGGCAACCGATAGAAAAAACTTAAAATATCTTCTTTTTTAAAACCCAATGAGGTAGAGCTTAGATATTTGGCATGAAACATCTTCTAGTGAGTGTCTATCATGTTTGTTCAAATAAAAGCCCTGTGGCCAAAATTGGCCCCACCCCAGGGGGTCATTGATTTTCCCTATATGCATTTTAAAAACTTATAAAGAACACAAAGAGCTAGAGCTAAGATATTTAGCATGAAACATCATCTAGTCAGTGTCTTACAAGATTGTTCAAATAAATGCCCTAGGGTCAAAATTGGCCCCGCCCAAGGGGGTTATTGATTTTCCTTATTTGTATATACAGTCAAACGTGTATTAAGCGACCGCGCAAGGGAAAGACCCAAAACGGTCGCTTAATGAAACGGTCTCTTAAGACAGTCAGCATGATATAAAAGTCAAAATTTATAAATGACATCTTTCTTATGCGGTAGGAATGTTTTTCAACTTCATTTTTATATAAATGTTGAATAATTAGTACGCTCCGATAATCTAAATGTATGCAAATGTAATAATAACTTTCTGATATTTATTGACAAAACGGGGTGCAAAATAGTTTTTATCCATTACGGACATGTTTGACATTTTTTCCAGAATTTGTTAGCCTCTCCGTTGTTTTTCCTTGTCTCCAACACGAAAACCCTATTAGTGAAGATGTTTTCTGTTGTGCATTTTTTCATTTGAAATAAACACAAACTACATCTAATTGTTACGATAAATTTAATTGCTGATCAAGTTCAAGGTCAATTCAATGCAGTCTAAATGTCAACAAGCGAAGCGTATACACCATCTCAGTAGGGGCGGAGCGTTGCATTATTTATCCGATATTTTTGGATAATACACGTCACGCGTATACTTAACTTCATTTGCATACGCTAAAACGGTTTGGGAAATAGAGTTTTTCACACGTTTATTTGTTGTGTTTTGATTGTTGACACTTGTAACATTACAAGGCGGCGTTCTCTAAAAACACAAATACTTGACAGGTAAAAGTGGTCGTTTAATGAAAAGCTTTATCTCAATTAGGTGACTAATTAGCGGTCGCTGGTCGCGTTGAGCAAAAGTCGCTTTATACATTAAAGATATAGAGAGAAAATGATCGGGGGGAATTTAAAGTGGTCGTTTAAGACAAAAGTCGCTTAATACACGTGGTCGCATGAGCAAGTTAGACTGTAGTAAAAACTTTAAAAATCTTCTTTAAAAAAATCCAAATAGCTGGAGCTAAGCTATTAAGCATGAAACATCTTCTAGTGAGTGTCTACCAAGTTTGTTCAAATAAAAGCCCTTTGGTCAAAATTGGCCCCGCCCCAGGGGGTCATTGTTTTTTCCTTTATTAGCTCGACTATTCGATAAGAATAAGTAGAGCTATTGCAGTCACCCGAGCGTCGGCGTAACCACTTATGTTAAAGTTTTTGTAATAGTTCAAATATTTTCAAAGTCCATTGACATATGGCTTTGAAACTTTGCACACTTGTTCACCATCATGACCCCAACCTGTAGACAGGAGGAGGTAACTCTATCAAGCATTTTGACAGAATTATGCCCTTTTTCGACTTAGAATTTACGTTAAAGTTTTTGTAATAGTTCAAATATTTTCAAAGTCCATTGACATATGGCTTTGAAACTTTGCACACTTGTTCACCATCATGACCCCAACCTGTAGACAGGAGGAGGTAACTGTATCAAGCATTTTGACAGAATTATGCCCCTTTTTCGACTTAGAATTTATGTTAAAGTTTTTGTAATAGTTCAAATATTTTCAAAGTCAATTGACATATGGCTTTGAAACTTTGCACACTTGTTCACCATCATGACCCCAACTTGAAGACAGGAGGAGGTAACTCTATCAAGCATTTTGACAGAATTATGCCCCTTTTTCGACTTAGAATTTACGTTAAAGTTTTTGTAATAGTTCAAATATTTTCAAAGTCCATTGACATATGGCTTTGAAACTTTGCACACTTGTTCAACATCATGACCCCAATCTGTAAACAGTAGGAGGTAACTCTATCAAGCATTTTGACAGAATTATGCCCCTTTTTCGACTTAGAATTTACGTTAAAGTTTTTGTAATAGTTCAAATATTTTCAAAGTCCATTGACATATGGCTTTGAAACTTTGCACACTTGTCCACCATCATGACCCCAACCTGTAAACAGGAGGAGGTAACTGTATCAAGCATTTTTTTTACTATCAAGCACTAAGAATAGTCGAGCGTTGCTGTCCTACCGACAGCTCTTGTGTATATAGTAAAAACTTTTAAAAAATTCTTTTAAAAAACCTTTAGAGCTAAAGCTAAGGTATTTAGCAAGAAACATCTTCTGATGGGTGTCTACCATTTTTATTCAAAGGAGGGCCCTTGGGTTAAAATTGGCCCCGCCCTGGGGATCATTGATTTTCCTTATATGTATAAAGTTAAAACTAAAAAACTTCTGTTAAAAAGCCCAAAGAGCTAGAGTTTAGATATTTAGCATGATTAATCTTCTAGTGAGTGTCTACCATGTTTGTTCAAATAAAAGCCCTGGGGACAAAATTGGCTCCGTCATTGTTTTTCCCTACATGTGTATAGTAAAAACTTAAAAAATCTTATTAGAGCTAGAGCTTAGATATTTATCATGAAACATCTTAAAATGGGTGTCTACCAAGTTTGTTTAAATAAAAGCCCCTGGGTTAAAGCCCCAGGGGCGTATATACAGGTGAGCGATTCAGGGCCATCATGGCCCTCTTGTTATATAATACCTGGTGAAAGGTTTGTGTTTTTAAAATTCCGTTTCATAAAACAATGAATGTATAATTTTGATGCTTCACATAACTGGATGTTCTTTTTTTAGCTCGACTTTTCTATGAAAAGGGGAGCTATCCTACTCGCCCCGGCGTCGGCGTCGGCGTTGGCGTCGGCGTTGGCGTCACACCTTGGTTAAGTTTTTCGTACCACCCCACTTTATTTCAGAAGTATTACAAGTATGGCTTTGAAACTTACCATACTTGTTCACCATCATAACCTCCATCTACAGACAAGAGTACATAACTCTGTCAAGGTTTTTGACAGAATTATGGCCCTTTTTTGACTTAGAAAGTGTATTGAGCTTTGTTAAGTTTTTTGTACCACCTCACTTTATTTCAAAACCATTGGAGGTATTGCTTTGAAACTGACCATACTTGTTTACCATCACGACCTTCATCAACAGACAAGAGGACATAAACTCTGTCAAGGTTTTTGACAGAATTATGCCCCTTTTTGACTTAGAAAATACATTGAATATGGGTAAAATCCACTTATTGCCTTAACCCTTTGAGATATTGCTTTGAAACTTTTAATGCTATTTCACATCATTACCCCCATCTGTACGCAAGAGAAGGTAACTCTGTCAAGGATTTGTTTTAAAAATTAAGGCCTTTTATGCGACTTAGAATCTTGGTTAAGTTTTTAGTACCAGTCCACTTTTTGACTGAAACTGTTTGAGATATTAATTTGAAAGTTGGAATACTTGTTTACAATCATGATTCCCAAACATGTCCAGGACTTAAACATTTCAAACTTTGCTGCAGTGTTCAAGGGTATCACACAATTCAGTAAAATAATTCTTCACTAAATATCTTAATGCTCATGGCCATTGTTCACTTTAAAAATACAGAGATTCTTGTATTGCCTTTTACTGCAAAAACTTTTTTTATTGGCAAGCAATAAAAAAGTCGAGCGCGCTGTCTTACGGACAGCTCTTGTTTTCCTATGGTTATTTTAAGAGGTAACCCTTTAACCTATTGACTTTGTGTAATAGATTAGCTCTATTATAAAATTTAAAAAAAAGTCTATTTAAAGTTCAATATGAAAATACAAAAATTAGACTGACTACAGAATAGGGCCAGGCCCAAACTGCACAGATGTTCAGGCTGCTTAGCTCTGCACTGGTGGTCTCTTGCGGGCTCCAGCTGGGTTAAGGGTTAACATAGGATGTTGTGCCGCAATCATTGGCAGGACTTGTATGTTTTATATTTAAATTATTAAAAATATTTTATTATATATATTTCCAGTGGGTTTATGGGGAATTTAGAATAATCCCTTCAAGTCTGGGTTCCACAATTAGATATCTGATAGCTATAAAATATGAAGAGTAAAGTTAACATATATTGGTAAATTAAGTTAAATTA